TATATATAAAAATATATAAAATACATAATATATAATATATAATATGTATCTATTTTTTAATATATATCTCTCTCATCGAGCGCACATCTAGAAAGGAACAGTTTAGCCTTTGAGGAAGGAGTGATGGTGCATGGCAGTGCAAAGGGCCGTTTGGGTGGAGGTGGGAAGGACCCATAAATACGTGGGGAGGGTGTAAGTCTGCGTTTCTGCACACACAGTGGGATTTATATATATAAAAATATATAAAATACATAATATATAATATATAGAATATAATATGTATCTATTTTTTAATATATATCTCTCTCATATATATACGAGAGCATAGGCAGGTGTACACGTCAACAGGGGACAGCATGCAGAGCCCATGGGGTTGTACAAGGCTATCTCTAAAGGGTGGGAGGAGAGGGGGGCTTCTTGCCAGCAGGCTAGCATTGCCAAGCAGGTTTGCTGTTTGGGTTCGTTATTTACTTTACTGGATCCAATTAGGAAGCCAGGGGATAGGAAATGTGGCTGAGGCAAGCGGGCCTTCAAAGCTTTCCTCCTGCACACATCAAAGCTGTCTGCCGCAGATCCCTCTGCAAAAAGGGCTCTGCCAGCTCCGAGCAGCAGCAGGCGCCTGGCTCACTCTGCTCAGGGTCGTTCCCTCTTGGTTTGATTGTCAACCCTCCCAGGCTTGTACTCTCTATCTCCAGCCTCCAGAGCAGAAAGCTCCTCTTTCTGATTTACTGGGACAGAGTTAAGGAGCTACAGCTTGGCAAGACGGTGTTTAATGGGGCTGCAGCAACAAACCAAGCTAACTATGAATATGTGAAAGGCAAAAAACCTGCAGGGAAGAAGCTTGCCTGGAGTCATGGGAAGGGATGCTTTGGGATGAGAAGAGCTGCGCTGCAGCTGCACGAGGAGTCATCCCCCCGAGGGAAACCTGGAAGGCCTCTCACTGGGAAGGGGTTGTACTGAACCAGACAAAACAGCCAGGGGACAACCCATGTCAGCGAGGAAGGTTTGGCAGTAGGGTCAGGATTTCATCCCCGGGTAACACGCTCAAGGCAAATGCCTTCTCTTAATGGGAATGGAGTGGCTGACTTGCCAGGAGCTGGCAGTCCCTCTTTTCACCTAATAGAATATGTTCATTGTTATTGGTACCAAACAGCACTGTCCAAGCCTTCTCCCTCCCCGCTTTGATAAACTGCATAGTGACAACCATCAGCTCCCTGCCAAAGCTGGCTCCTGCACGGAAACATTTGTAAATTCGCTCAGTGTATAGAGCTCTGTTCCTGCTCTCCCCGCCCCGCCTTTGCCTTAGAGGTTAGAGTTATATGACTCACCTAATCTGGCTGCCAAGGTGAATTAGTGAAAACATCTCTACAGCTCTGTGCAGGATATCACAACCTGACATTTTTCTAACACACTGTGATACATCTTTCCTCTCCCTGATCTGTACTATGACACCTCAATTTTATATAAATGCTTTTTGTTAGAAATGGTTAATGTACTCTTAGAGGGGACAGGGCTGCAAGCAAAAGGGTCTGTCTTGCAAGTGAGAGTAGCTGAGTTCTTGTAGCAAAATGTTGATGCCCAGGGTTGAAAGAGGTCACCAGAGCAGGGACAGGAACAGTGCTACCACTATTTTAGCAAGAAACTGTCACAGAAACTTTCCCTGAAGTGTTATGCTCCTATCTCTGTCCTGGAGCAGGGGAATGAGGAGCTGAATAGGCCTATTGATGTCTTTGGCATGCCCTTTAAAACAGAAGTCCTTCCTTTCACTCATTCCCAGAGAGCTCCACTGGGCAAACCAGCAGCTCATCATCTCTTGGGAAGTGTTGTGTGTAGCTGTGCAAGCTCTCCTGTTGGTCATGGTACACGGTTTAGACTTTACGTGCATGTACGTATGCAGGGGAGAAGCTGAAAAACATCTTCCCTTCGGAAAGTATGTACCCTTTTAGGATACTTTGGAGCTCCATTGATGTGGTTCTCTGACAGACAGACTTAACAGCTCCCTTAATGAGGGTGCCACTCCATTAGAGCTGGTTAAGTCACCCTCAACCCTCTTTTCATTATGGTGACAGTCTTGTGACAAGGGCAAATTGCAGGAGAAGCAAGTCCCACTTGGAGTGAACCCTGTGTATAAACAAGGCGGAATTACAGAGCAAATGATTTGCAAAGCAGAGGCAAATTACGTTTTAACCTTTTCTTTGTGAGTCTTTCCCTGATGTCTGATTAACTTTCCAGTCAACTGGCTCACCTACCAACTGGGAGTGCTGCTGTGAAAGGAGGGGAGTGTTGGTTGTCAGCTCAAATTGGGGGTGGGATTTTCAAAGAACATTATTAGCCAGTAGCAGTATGTGCTGAGAAGATCTGGGAATTAAAAAAGTTCCCAGCCAAAAATGAATCATGCTATGGCAAAACCACAAACAATGTATTGGCTGTACAGACAGCAGCACAGCACAGAAATTGTGATGCAATCCTTCATCTGCGTTCAGCCATGGTAACACCTCGTCTGAAATGCTGTGTTCGGTTTGGGGCGTTGCACTTCCAGAAAAATGTGAACTTGTCAGAGGGGTCTAAAAGGAAAGAACAAGAATGATCAAGGGTCTGAAAAACCTCACCTACAGAGGAAGGTTGACAGACCTGGCAATAGTCAGCCAAAAAAAAACCAAGATGACAACTGAGGGAGGAACATAAGTGATTTAAAAGTTGATAAAAGGCTATTGCAGAGAAGGAGGGAATGATTTGTTCTTTTTGTCTGTAGTGGCTAAGACAAAAATAATAGCTTTAAATTGCAGCAAGGGAGACTCAGGTCAAACTTCAGTGAAACTGCTCCAGTGGTAAGAACAGTGAAGCACGGGAACAGATCGTCTGGAGTGGCTGCAGAGTCTCTGCCGCTGGAGGGCAGAGGGTGGCTGTCTCCCTGACATGACCCATGTGTCCTGCCTTGAGGTTGGGGAATGGGCTAGATGGTGACTGAAGTCCCTTCCAGTACTATGACTCACCTAACTCTGGTCCTACAGGAGTTAAGATTCCCCAACATATTCATGAGTTACAGAGATAAAAAGCACCTGTGAAAATCCCACCTTGCTGCCTTCTCCACTGACTCTCCAGAGCATCAGCCCCAGTAACACAGCAGAGGATTGAGAGCCCTGTCCTGGAGCACTGGGTGGGCAGCAGGAGCCAACTTTGCCTCCTTACCATGTAAAATACACTGCTGCCATGCAGTAAGGCCCTTCAGCAGATTTAAGGGATGCAAAAACCTGCATCAAAGCAGTTGTAAGTTTTAGACATAGCAATGAGATTTCTGCTCACCTGAACATCTGGTAGGAGCTGGAAAAGGGACTGCTGGTTAGCCCCGCTGAAAGAGGGGGTCTTTGCATGAGTTTAATACACTGCTGTTTTCATGCTGAGTCTCTGTGAATGGGGGGTGGTTTTCCCCTAGAACAGTTCTGAAAATTGCCGGGGAAAAAAAATTAAAAAGGCAAAAATAATTGTGTAAGGGACAGAGTTCTGAGCAGATTTTGAAGTTGCTGAAGTCCCTATCTCTGATGCAGAAGGGAAATGCACGCAGCTGGCATCCCCAGCCTGACCTGGCCAACATGCCGCAGCAAACCTGTGCCTGTGTGGTGGGATTCATTGCAGGTGGCTCCACGGGAACGTTAGCTCCAGAGACGGGGCTTACCCACTGCTTTCACGCAGTGCTGCAGAGCCAAGGACAACAGCCGGGTCCTCGCAGGCACTATTTGAACTCCATCAAACAACTCTAAGCACTTACATGAAGTGGGCAGGGTTTCAGAAGTACTCGGCACCCATCGAGCAGAAAATTTCTTCTGGGCAGAGAGTTGCTTTGGAAAATCTGACCGCTTTCTGAGGAACCTGAATGGGAGCTCTTGTGAGCTGACCTTTGGTTTTTTTTGAAATCTGGCTTTTACCCTTTGAGGCTTGGGGGACGCTTTCTCTAAACATACACAGGCATGCAACTGGGGCTTGTGGCTTCGCATGCTGCAGACCAGTGCTTGCAGCCCTCTCAGAGAAGGGAAGCATGTCCCTTTACACTGCTGCCAATGTGGTTCAGATTCTTTCCAGGAGGAGCATTACTTTGGTTTCTGAAGGAATAGGGTGATATACCAATCCTAATATTTCATGCTTCCCTGGCACCTTTCATCCAACGATTCTAATGTGTTTTACATGGGTTAACCTCACTGCCCTTCTCTGACCAGGAGGTGATGGGAGAGGGGGGCTATTAGCTGCAGTTCACAGAGGGGGAGCAAGGGAGTGACTCACCCAAGGTCATACAGTGAATTAAAAGCAAGGCCACAGACCGCCCCTGATTCCTGCCCCCGGCTGTAACCCTGATGCTCAAGTCACTGCTTTCAAAACTCTGTTAGCGAGGCAGCACGGTTTAAATATGTCATTTCATATGTACAGTAGATCAGGGATTCGTGATGATTATTGGTCTCCACGCATCAAATTACACTTTGTTTCTCTCAGTTTGGCCGTGTTTAACAGTAGCTCAATCTGATCGATGGCACTTCAGGGTGGTGGTTGCTCTGAGAGACAGAAAGACATTTTTCACAGCTTTGCAGTGGAGAAAAAGGTGCTGACAAAACATCACCACATCTGAGGACCCAGCTAGCCCTGAACCAGCCCGTCGGCCACAGGCTGACTAACCTTCCCTGGTACTCTGCCATCACACCAGTGAACTTACTCCAGTCTCATGTGGTGGAGATTTTGCTTCTTGGCCTGGACAGCCTGTGATATGCAACGATTTGGTACCACTTGTATGCTTCCTTCCAGATTTTCAGAACCCAAGTTTTCCATAACTAAATAAAATGCTAGTATCTTGCTGATATGGCTTCTGAAATAACTTTAAAATCACTCATGACTGTTGTTTATTTGCAGAATCCCTGTTGTGATTGTTCCTCCATAGCAGTTAAGCAGAAGGCTTCCCAAACCTGAATGCCTAACAGAGCCACCATCTGTATTTTTCTGTCCTACCAGGCAGAGAGTTTGAAGGCGAGGAAGAGTATCTGGAGATCCTAGGGATCACACGAGAGCAATCGGGCAAGTACGAATGCAAAGCTGCCAACGAGGTTGCTTCAGCAGACGTCAAGCAAGTCCGGGTCACTGTGAACTGTAAGTACATTGCAACTGGAGCGGGTCAACGGGAAGAGCTTTGCCCACGGGCAGGGGTGACTTTAGGATAAATAGAGAAGCCTTTCTGGGTTTATATTACATGTACTGAAATGGGGGTGAGCGCTGAGGAAACTATCTGCAATCAGACACTTATCACAGGGTATAGTTTGTGCTTTAAACCTGGTAATATATAAGAAAAGAAAAGAGAGAGAAAGAGAAAAAAAAAAGAGAGGACCTGTGAGTTGCCCCTGTCTCTCCCCTCAGAAACGCTGGCAGTGCCTTGTTTTCACTCATTGCTATTCGGGAGAACAGTAGCGTGAAGAGAAGCTTCAGCAAGGCAGCAAGGAGACATAAGGGAGGGTTCAGACGGCTCAGAGCAAACACATGCCTGCCTGCACCCAGCCATCTCAGCAGTGCCTACATGGGTATCACAGCCCCGGGGCCTGGGGGTGACGTGCGGTAGAGGCATGTGTTAATGAGAGGGTGCAAAAACTTGACTTTTATGCTGGTTTCAGGTCATTAGCATAAAGCCCTCTCTAAGAGACCCTCCGTGGACCAATGCAATACAGAAGGGGGCTTGACCAAAGGATACGGGAATCCACCTAAAAACACCAAGAGGCACAGTTAGCTATATGGCTTACATCCACACCTGTATGAGTGGGGCATGGATCCCATCGCCCATACGTGCTTAGACAGATGTCCACTCTGCTGGCATGCTCCTCCCACAGTGACACAAGATATTTCAGACTGCTCTCACTCTTATAATCCTACATGTCCACCTCCATATTTGTATGGCTCATATTTGGCACTGGAGTTGTTTAAAGTGAATATCCCCATCTACCTGCTCTGTTTCCTTGCTTGGAGGCTAATACCTCTGCAGCAGGGATGAATGAATGGGACCTGACCTCCTTCAGTTTACACACCAGAATATTAACTTAAACTGAAATTGGAGATGGTTACAGACATGTTTCAGGGTGCATATGCATGGCCTTGATTCACGGGTAGCACTCTCAGGGAGTGGGTTAGGGCAGAGAGCTGACGGCAGCAAGTGTTTCAGCCCATCCTGGTCTAATTTGCCACCACAGCTGATTTTAGCACCTTTTAATACCATTCTTGCTCTCTGTCTCTTTCTTTCCCTTTGGCCCATCACATCAGATCAACTTGTCTGTCTTGCTTAGAAGTCAAGGTTATAGGCTCCCTGCAGCATCTTCAGAATCCACAGTTTTTTATAATTCCCTTAGAAATTGGGTGGCAGAGGTTTAATACCGGCTGCTTCAAGGGCCAAATTTGGCATTAATGTGAAACTGTAGTAGCAGATTTTCTGCACTAAAACTGTTGAGGGTTGTTTCCAATCAAAAACAGCTGAGTTTATAAACCTGAGATGTTCCATGAGAACCAATTAATATTTTCAAATATTTCTGTGAAACATAATTTCAGCGATGCTTTTAACATGGTTGAAACAGATTGTTTGTATAAAGTCAGAATGTTTGATTTTGACTTAGTTTCAACTCATAATAACTATGCTACAGTAAGATCTTAAACATTTTTACTGTTGGAATATATGAAAATATAATGTGATAAGAGTATTGTAATATTATTATGAGGCCTAATTTGTAATGTAAGCAACCTGTAAGTTCCTTCAGGACAGATCTTTTCTTTCGAAACAAAGGGAAAAAATCTAAGAGGTCATGAGGGCCATGCACAGGAAAAAAATCAGTCCTGTTTGGGGAATGAAAGCTAGACATTTGCATACATCTTTCCTTTTCTTGCTTTCTAAAACTACACCACAAGCAGCAGAAAGTGGGAAAACTACAGTAAGTTTGAAAAATGGGACCTGCCCAACCTCAGGATCTTCCTGGCCATCTCTTATCATCTGCTGATGCTGTGGAGCACGTAGCTTGTCAGCCCGGACTGCAGGAGAGAGCATCCTTGTTTTGCTTTGGTCTCACACTACCACCTTCAGGCTTCCCGAGTAATGGCCCTTGCACATCACAGACAGGGAAACTGAGGCCTGGGGAAGAGTGGGGGAAAAACAGCTAACTGGCTTCCCAGCAGCAAACAGCTAAACACAGAGCGGCTGCTTTCTGAGTACAATAGGCTGGTTTGCTCAAGGCCACCGCCTGCCCCTTCTTCTGGGGCAGCACTGCAGCAAGCAGACTGCCCTTCGCTGAGAGGGCAGCCTCGAGGCCAGCAGTGCCTTAACAAAAGTGGTGGCAGCTGAGGTATGGCCCATCCACCCGTCTGGGCTCTGTCCTTTAAAAAGCCGAGGAGGGTGGCTAAGGCAGGGACTGCTCAGAGCGAGGGACTGGGCTCCCTGGCAGCAGCCCGGGGAGCACACGCCTGCTGGGGTCATTTTCTAGGCCCATAGAAAAGTGCTTGTTCATTTTGTGACTCACCTCTTGTGATGGATTCAGTGAAATGGAAAAGGTTTGTCTCACTGCAGATGGCAAGAAGATACAGTGCTCGAACCAAAAAATCGAAGAAGGGTGCTTAAAAAATCACCTTCACTATCCTTTTATTACCCCGCCTCCTTTCCAAATTAAAATATTTACATGAACCCACAGCCTTTGAATGTAGGATCCTATTTATGTACACTTATTAATATTTATGATGTTAGAGGGCGCACTGCAATATCCCTAAAGCCCTGCATAAAATCCCGATTAAGGTCAGGAAAAGGATCACATTGAGATGGCTAATGTGTTCACAAACAAACTTCTTTCCATACATTTTCCAGACAGAATTATTTTTATCTTTGACTGACACAATCCATTTTGATTCTTTTTTTGGCCTTTTAGTGCTGGGACAGATACCGACAGTGGAGCTGTACTCTGTACACAGAGAGTGTGCTTTATGGTAACTTGAGTCTCAGCAAAGTAGCTGTCTGAGTTGCAGCCCCGTAATCTCAGGGTATGCAAGTATTAGTGATGAGAGACAAGGCACTTATTCCCTGATCCCTCTTGGCAGCCAGGTGGAAATAATTCTGCCTTTTAACATGTAAAGCTTGTCGCTTAACATTTTGAACATGGGGCTGGGATTGAAGATGCCGGTGCCTACCCTACCCAGCACCCAGCCAGCACTGAGACCTAGCTCCAGCAGAGCACACCGATATGTTTCCCAAGTTTTGTTTGCCTATGGCACAACTCTCAGTCTTCAAAGTAAGCAGAGGTGGGAGCACCGTGCTGGGCTGAGGGCAAGCTTCATGCAGAGCAATCACGGCCAAGCCCTTTTGGAGCCTCTGACAAAGCATGGTGTCCAGGAAGGTTTGGGCAGGATTTGTAACCTTAGACACCTAAGGGAAGTGTCTCAACAAGTGGTCTGGCTCTCAAAATTGTACCCACAGCTTCTGCTAAAGCTCTTCCCTTTTAAGCCGAGAGAGTGTGCTTTATGGTAACTTGAGTCTCAGCAAAGTAGCTGTCTGAGTTGCAGCCCCGTAATCTCAGGGTATGCAAGTATTAGTGATGAGAGACAAGGCACTTATTCCCTGATCCCTCTCGGCAGCCAGGTGGAAATAATTCTGCCTTTTAACATGTAAAGCTTGTCGCTTAACATTTTGAACATGGGGCTGGGATTGAAGATGCCGGTGCCTACCCTACCCAGCACCCAGCCAGCACTGAGACCTAGCTCCAGCACCGATATCCGATATGTTTCCCAAGTTTTGTTTGCCTATGGCACAACTTTCAAAGTAAGCAGAGGTGGGAGCACCGTGCTGGGCTGAGGGCAAGCTTCATGCGAGCAATCACAACTCTCAGTCTTCAAAGTAAGCAGAGGTGGGAGCACCGTGCTGGGCTGAGGGCAAGCTTCATGCAGAGCAATCACGGCCAAGCCCTTTTGGAGCCTCTGACAAAGCATGGTGTCCAGGAAGGTTTGGGCAGGATTTGTAACCTTAGACACCTAAGGGAAGTGTCTCAACAAGTGGTCTGGCTCTCAAAATTGTACCCACAGCTTCTGCTAAAGCTCTTCCCTTTTAAGCCGTGAATGTATTTCTGTCCCATACATGTTGCTTTCTTATTATAGTTTGACATTAGACACAGAGGTTGTATGGAAAATAATTTTCCTGCTAGTGTTAAATTCCTGCTTTACTCCTTTTACTTTTGCTGTCTTCCTTTACCCTTGATGAAATCTTTCTCTCATCTCTCTGATGAGCCCATGTGAACTAGAGATCCACAGGTAAATATTCATAAATTAACAGAAGTCCGTCATTAACCTTAACTCTGCCTGTGTATGCCTATGCATTTATGACAGAACTTTATGCAGTCTTGCTGAAGAGAAGCACACGTAAGGAGTGATGCTAATGCAGTGTATTAGGGAGAGTTCAAAGAGCAGGTATTCTCCAGAGGAGCGGGGGGAAACATGTGCCACAGCAAGCAGCAGCTGTGGGCCTCCACCAGCCTGAATGGTTTGCATGAGGAAGCCAGCCCTGACATAGTTTCACTGTTTCATTCCACCTGGAAGTGTGTGAAGTGACCATGTGTTTCCTTCCTGCAGACCCTCCCACCATCACAGAGTCCAAGAGCAATGAAGCGGCCACGGGACGACAAGCCTTACTCCGGTGTGAGGCGTCAGCAGTGCCCACGCCTGATTTCGAGTGGTACAGAGATGATACCAGGTAAGACCTTTAGCTCACCTCTTCCCTTCTCTCCTCTTCAGTCCACTCCATAGAGGATCCTTAGAGAATCACCTATCATCCTCCCCAGCTCTTCTCCTCAAACAAATTACTCTTCACAAACCATATAAGTCACGATGGTCCCATCAGATTTGGCAGAGCCAGCGTGGTCAGGGCTGGAGGAGGCAATCCCTCTCTGCGCTGGGGATGCTGAAGGAAGTGCAGAGGATGGAGCTCTTGCCTTTACGTCAGTTATGGGCCAACACACAATTAAGACATCAGTAGTGCTTTCTTCCTGACGATGTTCATGCATTAAATAGCCCATGATACAGAAAAAAAAAAATAGGCAGTGTTAGTCTCCCAGTAGGTAATGCAGCTCTAGGTACCTTCGTCTAGGGGAAGGAGCTGCTGAGGTGTAAGATTCCCCCATCTGTGTGACCTGAGTGACCCAGATTTGCATATGAGAGAAAATGGATCTGTTCCTTATATCTGAGCGTTTACCTGGCATTAAGAAGGTGGTGTTATTATCCTAGTTTTTAACCTGACCCATGTGCACAGGCTCAGGGATGACTCAGCTTTGCTATATTGGAACATATGAATTGGTGTGTTTCACTAAAAACCTTTTGTTCAAGTACAGACTAGCCCTCAGCTGGCCATGATGTGTTCATTTCCAAGTGTTAGTTGGTGCTGGGTAAAGGCTTCCTCCCTTTCCCTTGGCTTTTCTTGCTTCTCCACCGCTTTACTGGTGGCATTTCACCCCACTGCACTCCTTCTTCCTTTCATTCCCTCCTCCTCGTTTCCATCAATGCCGCCTTTGGTCTCTTTCTTCTCATGTCTCCTTCCTGCCTCCCTCCATCCTCACCCACCAGCTGGGCTGAATGACTTTGGTTTACTGTCTGCTGGGCAGTGATTTCTTTCCCAATACACAACTGCCATTGCACTACACACCTCTTCTCCTGTCTTCCCAGGATAAACAGCGCCAACGGTCTGGAGATAAAGAGCACAGGGAGCCAGTCTCTGCTGATGGTGGCCAACGTCACTGAGGAACACTATGGGAACTACACCTGCGTGGCTGCCAACAAGCTGGGAGTCACAAATGCCAGCCTATACCTTTACAGTAAGTATGGGAGAGGGTGAAGGGAGGTCCAGATCGCTCTCGCAAAGACCAGGCTGTATAGGAAGTACAAGGTGACCAAAACTCAGGAAAGCATCTGCTTGCCACCCCCACCCCTCCAAACCTCCAGCCATGAACTGGCTTTCAGCGCTCTGCTTCAGATACCTCCATGTTCATACTTGCCGTGAAACACGAACACCGCCAAATTAAAAGGTTTACAGTCGAGCCCTTTGATTGACTTTCTTTGCTGAAGTCAGATTTTGTTAAAATAATAAAAAGATGTTTGTTTTAAAGCTGGAAACAAAAAAACCTTTAGAATGACAGCCCCTTTAATAAGGAGACAGAAGGCCAGGCCTCAGAGGGTCTGTGACAGCTGAGAAATGACAAGTAATTCAGAGAGATGGAGAGAACTAGCCACCGAGCCTGAGGAGAACAAGAGAGAGTCAAGAAAAAGAGAAATTAGTTTGACAATGGAAGGGAAAGAAGTGGGAAAAGACAGAATGATTTAAAGGGACATACCATAGGGAACATGGGGGAAAAGGCAATCAGCAGATGAAATATGGAATAAAATTCCTTGGATCTCATTCTGCTACCTTTCAGTTACTGAGTTTGTCGTAGTAAGTGTAAACAGACAGAAGTTGGGATTAGACCAAACTCTAGAGCAGAGTTACCTGCAGGTTCTGAATTTTGCAGCTGATTCAAACCTGACCCTAAACAGAGCCCCTGCCCCTCACCTACCAGCCACACCTGCGTACAAACTGTGGCATATTCAAAACACAGTTCCTGATTCCAGGTCCAAAACTTGGGCTCGACTTGGACCACACGTTGTTATTGCCACCAGAAATAGACTGCAGCAGAATGACCCACTCACTTGAATGGACACATAGACGCAAAAGTGACTTAGGGCTGTATTCCTCTGACAGTCCCAAATTGAATTAAAACACTCAGGCCATGACCTGCATGTCTTTTTAAACAGAAAAAAGATAAACTGTGTAAAGCAGTCTTAGTACGGGATGCAGTTTAGTCTAGTTTCTGCTGTGTGTGGTCAGATTAGTCAAACCATCAGAAAAAACATGTTTTGGTATGGTTATTTTTTAACACATGTAGTGCAAAAGGATAAATCCATTGGCATTCTTTGTTTACCACCTCTGGATTTATTTCATAGCAGTGTGAATTTTTGGAAAATTTGGGTGTGTTCTGTGGAAGTTTTTTTCTAAAGAACAGATAATATCATAAAAGAACATATATTTGATTTCCTGTAGCATTGCAGCACACAAAGCAAATTTCTACTTTGAAAGTCTTTTCACCCTGGTCTTGGGACTGTCATGAGATTAAAATAAAACCCTCAGGCAGCAATCTGGAACACAATTTTCAAATACTCCAGATTTGTTCTTGCTGATACTAATATAATGCTAAGTTTAGAATCCATTATTTGTGGCTGAATTCTAAATTTGGCCCTCTCTGTTGGTTCCTGTTACACAGATGAGCTGAAATGCATCACTGAAGCAAAATATAAGATGAAATTCAATAAAGTATGTAGGCACATGTGATTTTAGTTGGGGTGTTGATTTTGCTAGAAAAGCATTTTGCATGACTTCAGAACTTCACCTCAAAGGATCTCAAAGGATTTGCTAGCAATGAATATTTTAACATCACAAGTTATTTAGAAATGGGTGAGTGTTATTAGCACCATTTTGCAGTAGGAAACTAAGGTACAGAGTGAAGAAGTAGTTTACCCATGGTCGTAAAATGAGTGGCAGAACCTGTAAGAGACCCAGAGAGATCTTGCAAAGTTGCCGTTAACTATTCCACGGGGAAGTGCGGCAACTATTAACGATGACTTGCAACAGTGAGGGTCCTATTTTAGCCTCCTTTTGATGTGTATGAAGAAAACTTTCCTTCTTTCAAGTTGTTAGATTTTGTTTGTCATTTTTACCTTAGAAATTCAAGGCCTATTTATGCTGGAAAACACTAGAGAACTTCACAAGAGCCACAAGAATGGAGGTGCAGGAGCTGAGAGAGATTTGATGATTTTCAGTGGACGGTTTCTAACTTTTACTTTTGTTGCTTCGTTAATCCCTATTTCTTCAGTGTGCAATTGCTTCATATTGTTTCAGGAAATCTCTGTTCTCCTTCTAGTTAGTATGCAAGAGAGAAAGAGAGAGGAAAAAAATAAATACAGCTGGTATTTCTAAGGTTAAGAAATCAGGGGAGGAATGGGTGAAGGGAATCCAGCCTCATAAAGATAAAGAAAGCAGCTGAAAAAACCTACAAGCCCAGATGAAAAAAATGCTGTAGTGATCACACAGTAGCTGAAATAACAGGTAGTGCACACTCCCAGCCACACACCCAGGCAGAAAAATAAAGCAGTGCCAAGTTTTTGCAAGGTACAGCGGATACTCAAATACTTGGGAGTGTTTGTCATCCCTAGAATCAGAGATTTTATTTCTTTTTTAAATAGAGAACAAGCTCACTGTAGGGCAACATCCCACTAGGGAGGCAGATACAGCGATGGTTCCTCAGTGTCCCATTGCAGCACAAAAAAGAATGGCAGCCAGGAGTGAGGAAACAGAGAGTTAATAATGAGGTACTGGCAGCTTTGCCTGTGGTGGAGGGCATAAGGGGAGCTAGCAAAATGATGTGAAAGAACAGTTTAGCAATAGAGAAAAATGGGTGACTACCATTCCAGGAAATCTCAGCCAGCATTGAAAAACTCTCGGAGAGACCGAGTGCCTTAGATGTCAATGCCATAGAGAGAAGATGCATTAAAATACAAAAGCAGCTCCCTTGAGCTGTATGAATAGATAGCTAGTGATCTTCCTTAAAGGATGTAGCAGCAGGATTACCTGCTGTAGGTGGAGAGATTTATACCCCTCACTCCTGGAGACTGAGTTTACAACAACATAAAAATGGCCATATCAAAGGTCTGTCTTACCTAGGAGCCTGTCTCCAACAGCAATATGGAATGTTTGCAGAGAGGGTACTCAGGTACAGTTTGATGATACAACTGATCTAATAGCTTGCTGCCATCCCTTCCTCCCCACTCCTTTTGCTCACCCTGCTCTCTGCTACATGCTTTTGTTGTTTCCCTTATTCTGGTACTCAGTGGACAACCCACTGAGCCAGTTCAACCTGCTAAACCAGTGAAAAAGTAACCGAGCTTTACCGCCCACCCCCCCAAACTGCCCCGAAACGTTTTCTTTTGTTGTACTGAGCTGAATTAGTTCATGGAAGGGCTCAACGAGCACCAGAGCCCATGCAAGAGGGGAAGCCGTACCACACATCTGTGGATATGAGAAGTTGGGAGGCAGGACCATGTTTTGCAGCATTAGCGAGCCAATAGGTTGATTCAGCTCTGCAGAGCCTAGGAACAGGGTTTGTAACCCCCAAGCAAAAAATACTGTGAGACCTAGGAAAGAGGCAGTAACGCAGATCTCTGTGAAAATTACCTGGCAGAGAGGCCAAGCCAGGCTGCCATCACAGAGCAACAGAGGTGAAAAGTAGTGCCACAACTGAAGGGAAAGGGTTTTTTCCCTAAGTATATTAGGAGGGAGGGAACGTGTTTTCTTTCCATTCCACTCAGCTAACAGAGTGCTATGGAAAGCATTATGAGTAAAAGTCACAATTTGTATCTTAACCCATGCTACACAGAAGTGTAAATATGTGCATGCCAGATAAACATCTGCTATACAAGCATATAGATGCATAGGTTTACGTGTACGTGAGTATGTATACATACATATGCACCTGTGTGATGTATAAGCAAGCACACACACACCCACAGGCACACAGACGCAGGCGCAGCACCTGGTGCATTCTAGCAAGGCAGAGAAAAGAAATGAAAGCTCTTTCAAATTAGTTGACTTCTGCCTTCCGCGGAGCTAGCCCATCCCAGAGGATAAAACAGGAGACAACAGGGCAGTGCCGCACATCCTTTTGCAGTCCTGCTGGCTAAATTGTCTCAGTTATAGGAGACTGCCACCTCAGCAGGTCCCCTGCCGCATCCTCTGCAGCTTGCATCCTCTGCACCCTTCAGGGAGTAAGGAAACGCGGAGGTGAAGCAGCAGCTGGCAAGGCCCGTGCCAATTAGAAGCAGCAGTAGACAGGATCCCACCCCTGCCTCCTCTAGAGGCTTCAGGTAGAGTTATCTTTTCAGCCCAGCAGTTTTCATCCCAGCAAGAGGCATGTTCCTAGAAGAGCTGGCACTTGCCTCTAACTTGTCATTATTAGTACCCCAGCACAAGTGCTGGCTGTGTGCACACGCTTGCACCCCTTCTCCTAACTCTCTGCCCATGCTTTGTTGTGCCTGAGCATTTGCTTATGGTGGTTGCTGCTAGGATTTGGAGTGTAACTGTGGCCGAAATCTCTCTTAGTGGCTCTTAGTGCAAACCCTGTGTTTTCCCAGGGGCTGTCGATAATGGGGAGACTCAGGAGAGGAGGAAAGTGGTTAGGGTGACAGCCAGATGGGGCAAGGCTGAGACACTGCTAATGAGCCAGGGTGGAGCAATAAAGGCAGCACGCAGGGGTGAGGGGAACAGAGGTAGAGTCCTTGAATAGAAAGCAGCATGATAATGAGGCTGTAGTGCTTTGCTTTAACTGCTTATGCTGTGCAGTCTGCAGCCTGCTGTGCAGGAAGAAGGTAAAGGGGAGTTGAGTTATTTAACCAAACCAAATAACAAGGAAGTCATGTCAGCACAACAGCCTGCTTTTGCAGAACAATAGTCCCCTGTTGCTGCATAAACACAGAGATCCAGGCTAGCCGTGTATTTTCTATGCAAGAGACAATCTCCCTTGTGCCTGCTGTGGATTCAAACAGCTCCATTACCACCATGAGGGCAGGAGATCTGGCAGTGTCACACGGATGGGCCTGACCTGCTACATCCTCATGGGCTCCAGCGAGTCAGAAACTAGCATTGGCCTCCAAATAGCTGGGCCTGGGTTGATCAGAGAATAATAGCAGACTACTGATGTATCCTGCCGAGTTCTGTGTCTGTCAGCACTGA